ATATTTTTTCTTTTTTGGGGAATTCATAACAAGGCTGTCATCGCCCCCTTTTCTCCTACGCCCCTCTCCATTTTCCACCCCATTTTTCTGCATTTTCTACCGCCCAAAAAATCAATAACGAACGAAAAAAAAACGTTTGTTTTTCTTCATTTTTTTTTTTTTTGCCTGCTGCAAACTGCGCTGTAGTTGTGAAAATGGGGGACCGGGAAATTGGGCGGGAAAGTTTTGGAAAATGGGGAGGTGCCACTGCAGACAGCTATTTGGTGTATTTACACATGGAAGCAGTAAAGCAGTGCAGGTGGAGAAAATTGTTGACTAGTTTACACGCTTGAAATGAATGTTAAAGTAAAACTTTCAAATTGTAAGTTAAATTATGTCTAAAAATATTAGTTTAATTTCTTAAATATTAAATACATATTGTTTTAAGACAGAGTTTTAGTTTAAATAGGCATTTTTTCTTACACATTAATAGAAATATTATCGAAAACCTTTCAGAATCAATTTTTATAGGTATATAGAAAAGGTTTACATAAGCAACTTCTTTGACTTAACTATTAGAAGTTTTCTCATTATTTGAATAAAGTTTTTGTATAGTAAAAATGTTTATATTAATATTATGTTAAAAAGTGTACAGAAAAGAAGGGAACTTCTTAAGAATGTCAACTTTCTTAGGCACCTTTAAGTTATATTCTCAAATACCACCTTCTAATTTTTGCCTAGTGTATGCATTTTTCCCTACAGCTCTCTAGCAGTGCTTCTTCTTGTTTCGTTCTCCTTTTATTTTTTGCATAGAAGAATTTGCGCTTTCCGTTATATTCTTCTTCTTCTTTTTTTGTGTGTTTTACATTCTTCTTCTTGTGATGGTTCCCTTCTGTTTTATATGCTCCATCTTTTCTGTTTTTCTGTTAGTTTTATTCCTTTTATTTTGCTGTGTGTTCTGTGAACAGTATATGCGTATGTGTGTGTGAGGTATATATGAATGTATGTGTGTATTACATATGTACAGACACAGACACAAGGCGTGGCTGAAAGAAGAAGAAGAAGAGGTGGGGATAAAGGGGTGGGAAGGAGTGGGTGGCTGATGCTCCTGCTGCTGCAGCACACATGTGTGTGTACACAAAACATATGGAGAGGATGTGTTGTACACATACATATGCATATGTACACATACATATATGACTTACTGCGCACATAACGGTACATGTGCGGCTTTCTCTCTCTTTCGCCCATACACACATAGCCCCATCTCTGTCCCTATTTTGCTGGCCATCTCTTTCTGGCTGCCGCTTGTTTTCAAACTTTTTCAAACGAAAACAAAGCTGTGTGTGCGGTTTTTAATTATTTCCCTTTTTGTTTGCTGGAACTTTAAAGCACAAAATCCAGAGAGAGGAAAACGCTGGAAAACGCAGGGCAATGTTAAAGGAATTGGGCGAAGATGAAAAGAAAAAAGAAGCGAAAGAACGATGCTAGAAGAGAGCTTATTAGCCAAAGCTCTTTTCAAACTACTGTGACTTGAATTTAGATTTTCCTTTTGTTTTCCCATTCTCTGTTCACATTTCTCTTCTTTCTATAGTCTCCCCGTTCTCGCTGTCGTCTTTATACGCATTAAAGTTGAATTGCGGTTGTGGTGGGAGTGGCATCCTCAATAAAAGGAAAATAATTGATGAATGAAGCTTAACAAAAGGGAAAATAATGGGGAAGATAAAGATACAATTTCGTATCTTTTGATTACTTTGGGGTCTTTATTTAGTTAATGTACGAATTTATAAACAATATAAATAATTGATATAATAATATTCACTAGAGATCATTCAAATGGAAAAACGAACTCCAACTTTTATCCAAAAAGTTATGCAATAGAGGAAAAGTAAATGTAACTTTCTATTGCTCTACTTAAAAGTGGGATTTTGGGTAACGCCCAACACAGAAATTGGCTAATTGAAATTCATTTAATTCAATTTAAATTGTAAACACTTTTCCTATGCATATAAACAATTGCTAATTTTTGGTTTTCTCTTTTTCTCTTTGCAGGTAAAACATCTCAACGAAGTTTGTTAAAAAAAAAACAAAAAACAAAAAGGCAAAGGTTTTGCATATTTTGGCAAAGGAAGAAAGGAATAAAGAAAAGGCAGGAAGTAAAAGGAAATAAGAGAGAAATATGATTAGTAAAGGCAACACAAAGTGGTAAAAATATATTAGTAATAGCAACTATTAGGCAAGGTCAAAGGAAATGGACAAATGGTTTATTTTGAGGTAACCGTAAAGGCAAAGGCAAGAAGGCGAAAAGCTTCAAGGAAAAGCAAAGGGTCAAAGTTTACAATATACGTATATATAAAGCTTTAATAAGGCAACTAAATAGAAGACGAAGGCTGGAGCTTATTTATAAGCTAATAGCGATTTTATTTAAGAAGTAGACACAAAGAGAATAAATAATAGGGAAAAGAAGGGGATGAAAAGAAGAAAGTATAGTTATTTGAGGGAAAAATAAAAAACATAAAGGGGAAAATAATAAGAAAATCAAACATAGCGAAGGGAAATAAGTAATAAAATATAAAGTAAAATAACAAAACTAAATATCAAACAACTTCAAACATAAAATTTCCAAACCAAAACTGCCAAAAATATGAAAGATTTCAAAAATGATTTTCCCTTTTTGGCAATTTTGCATGGCTTTTTCGTATAGTTCGTCATTCATGATTGATGATTTCGCTACATCATTGTCGGAGCTCTTCTTGTTGTTCTTTTTTTATTTCAAAAGCGAGCTTTGGACGAAAAAGAGAAGCCTTGAATTTGATGTTTTCTAAAAAATATAAAAGAATGGTGTGTTCAACTGTGTGAAGTTTGGCAACAATGTTGTTCGGCCGCTGGCCATCTCTTTCGCACTCGCATTAAAACGTCTTTAATATTTAATGAATTAATAAACGGGCCTGTGGTTCTTTGTGTTGGTGTTAGTGTGTGTGTGTGTGCGTGTGCGTGTGTGTGACGTTGATGCATGAGGTCGCGACGTTGCGTTGGCGTCGACGCCAGCAGAGGTAGCAGCAGGAACGTAGGGTCAAACGCGTCGCACGTTAATCACACAAAATCACAAAAACCCATCAAATGCGTTTATTATTGTTAATAATAAAAATGATAATAATAGCTTAACTACAAATTACTAAAAAAAAAAGATAACTAAATGGAAAATTTGAGTTTTAAATAAATATTTTTAGATAGTTTAACTTATTGAATATAGAAAAAGCAAATGCATTGCGAAACCTTAAAATTTGCATTAAATTTTTATTAAAAACTTCTTTAAAATCGTGAAATGAATGGCAAATATGGATTTTAGCTTCCTATGGTCAAATTTTATTAACCTTTTATCATAATTATTTGCAAATAGCTAATATTTCCAGTCTTTTTAATACAAAATTCAGAATTTAAATAAATATTTATAACAAATGTCTAACTATGCTAGTTTATAAATATTTATGACAAGATTTTTGGTCTGCACTTGCAATGGTTTAAAATTTCAATGTAAATAAACTATTTCTACAAATAAAAGAACTTTAAATACTTCTGATCCATCATTATGTATAATATAAACAAAAAATAGTTAAACTTTTCCTAGTAAAAAATTAAAACAAAAACGTTTGCCCACAAAAAACCCACAGAAACCAGTGAACAAACCTTAAGGTATGACTAATTTTTGTGCCGCCAGTGTATGGGAAAAAACGAAGGCAACAACAACTGCTGCTGATCCATGCGGCTGCCTCTGCCAGCGTCGTTCTGTCTCTGCCGACGCTGTTGTGGTTCGCTACCCACATGGCTGACTGCTAACATGCTCGGCAGCGGACAGGCGAACATGTTTATAACAAACATGTTTCTGTCGGCAGCACATGGCGGACATTCACGAAAACGAAAGAGATGGCAAGTCGAAGTTCGCACAGGCAATCTCTCTCTCGCTCGCAGAGGTTCGAAACCGGCCGGGGTTCGTGTCCCCAATAACAAAAATAATAATAAAGCATCGAGCATATAAAAGCCCACTAAATCAACCGTTAGATCGGGCCCAGCTTAAATCCCACTTATATATATGTATATATATACTATATATATAGTTTAGTATATATATTATATGTCAGTGTGTAGCCGTGTATTATGCAGATATGCTAAATTATATGATGCGATCATCCGATTATCTTAGATTGCCGCAAAAAAAAAAAAATAGTGGAAAAACGGGGTCAAGCCTCAGTTGGTTCCATTTATTTTCAGCATTTTCTCGTCTGTCTGTAAATGGAATTGCAGATCGTCGTAGTTTAAACATATTAAGGTGCGGGGATTAGTCTATAAGCTATGTATGCCAAATTCTAGAACTAGCATTAAATTAGTTGGATTTTATAACTAGATTTGGTTAGATTCGCAGTTTGTGTAACGGGTCAAGGTGTTTAGAATTTGCATTTCCAACGGTCAAAGAACTTAACCGGTTTGAGAAGTTTATAAAAGATTTAAGAAAAAGGGATTTTCAAAAGAAATCAGAAGTTTGGCCATAGAAATAGGGCTGAGTTAGTCATTATAAAATGCCTCTTAAAGGTATTGAATCTTAGTGGAACTTCCTTAGTACTAGAAAGTATCCAATTTAAGGGATTTAATATTATTTATTGATTAAATTGTACAAATGAAAGGTTTTTGTTATAGTGAAAGTGAGAAAAAATATTTATTTTACCCCAAAACTAAACAGATTTAACAGCCAGAACAGAAAACTAAACAAGCCAAGCCACTTAGGAAAATGTCAGTACTTAAAACCACATTTAATGTAGCTTAGTACTAGAGCTAGTTATTATGATTTAATCAAGGTTTCCTGGTAATACTCAAAAAGCACCTAAATAATTGATAAACCAATAAAAAGAATTCCTTTCTTTTGCTACGACTGATGAGGAAAAACGTTTTTCATTAGCCTGGCCAACTTGAGATGCCGCTGCCAATTTAGACAATAATTTAATAATCTGCTGTTTTCGTCTCCTTTCGCCCCCACTGGTCGTACAGGGCCCTCGAGCAGCTGCCCCATTATGCCAAGCAGGTGGCGCAGCTCCAGCAGCTTCAGCACCAGCAGCAGCAGCAGCAACAGCAACAGCAGCAGCAACAACAGCAGCAGCAGCAAGACCAGCGAACCACTTTGCATCCTCAAATTCACCATCATCATCAACAGCAAATGCAACAGCAGCAGCAGCAGCAGCAGCAGCAACAACAATCCTCGAGAGCGGCGGCCAGTCCATTATCACCACTACGTCCTGGAAATCCTGGCAGTGGCAACAGCAGCAGTAGCAGCAGTAATAACAGCAGCAGTGCAGCAGCGGCAGCAGCAGCAGCGGCAGCAGCTGCGGCGGCCGTTAGTACCGCTTACCCGCCTCCGCAGCACCGTTTCATCCAGAATACGGGCTATAGCATTGCCCCGGCGCCCACCTATCGTGAGAACCCCTACTCGCGTCACCCCCAAATTCAGCAGCAGCAGCAACAGCAGGCTGCAGCGTCGATGCCAGAATATCAGAGGGCAGCAGCTAGAGCGGCTGTGGCAGCGGTGTCGGCGGGCAAAAGCAACGTATCTGGCCAAAGTTCCAATAGCAGCAGCAGCAGCGGCGGAGGCGGCGGAAGTGGTAGTGCCGGTGGATCAGCACCACCCGGCGGCGGTGTCGTCCAGGTATCGCAATCCGGCGGAGTTTTGGTCATGGAGGCCATGCCCCATTATGCCAGCCAACCAAATAGTAATCCCTCCCAACAGCAGCAGCAGCAGCAGCAACAACAACAGCAGCAACAGCAAGGCGGCAATCCCAGTGCCGTGGGAGGAGCATCTGCTGCTGGGGGAGGTGGCGGTGGAGGCGCAGGCGGCAGTGGCAGCATAATGGCCGGGAATTTGGGGCGCATCCTGATGCCCCATCCAGGAGCTCTACAATACACCAGCGAGTACCTGACCAATGCCACAGCGGTGGCGGTTGCGGCAGCGGCCAACCAATTGCAGCTGCAACAGCAGCAACATCCGCCCGAGCCATTTGGTGGCCAGCAGCCGTACAAGAAGCAACGGCTTAGCGAGGCCAATGCCAGCAACATGAATCACCTGCCGCCGCCACACCCGCAACAACATCAACAGCAGCAGCAGCAACAGCAACAGCATCAGGCACACCAGCAACACCAGCGATCCTCGCCAGCCCAAGTGCAACAGCAACAGCAGCAGCAGCAACAGATGAACAGCAGTCGGCAGAGTCACAATGATATGTGCCGACAAGTGGTCACCACGCCAATGGGTATGCAACTCAAGGTCGAAACGCTGCCCCAGCAGCAGCAGCAACTGCAGCAACAACATGCCTCACAATCCCAACGGCGTTCTCAACCAGCGGCGGGCAGCATGTCCTCCGGAGTGAGTCAACCAGTGGGTAATGTCAACGTTTCCACGTCAGGATCGGCGGGGAGTCATGGCGGCAGCAGCAGTAGCAATATTGCTGCAGGATCCGGATCGGGATCCGCCAGCACAGAGGCCTACCATCCACAGGTGAGTAGTGGAGTAAAGTGGCAAAAGAAGAGCTCTGGTTGATGATGAAGTGGGGAATTTCTTTCCCTAAAAAGTCACCGAAAAGTATCGAAGAATATGCCCCTAAAAGAGTTGAGGCTGTGCGACTTTTTAGGGTTATGTAAATCGTATAAATCTTTAACTTTGAGCTCTCCTTCATGTCTTTTAACCAGAAAACCAAACTAATTAACATTTTTAATAATCCAACAAAACAGGTGGAGGCCATTTCACCGACGTTGCCCAGCGATAGTTCGATCGAGGAACGTGGAAGGACCAGCGCCAAGGAGGATCTACTCATGCAAATCCAGAAGGTGGACAATGAGATCAAATCCGCTGAAACGACCATGGATACGCTGCGTAAAAAGGAGAAATCCCTAATGGAGGAGGCTGCCCTGGCCAAAGAGCAAAAGGCCGCCAAAGAGCTGAACGAGAATAACAACGATCAGGAGAATGTGGTGGTGGAGCTAGCCTGGCGCAGTCAAATGCTGGCCGAGAAGATCTATGCGGCTAATCGTAAGACGGCCCAGGCGCAACATTCCATGCTGCAGAATGCAGCTGCTGAGGAATCATCGGCAGGATCCGTAGCCGGTAGACCATGGTTGCCATTGTATAACCAACCACTCGATGTGGAAGCCCTAACCATGCTGATACGTCAGCATCAGAACCAGATCCGCGGACCGTTGTTTCAGCATATTCGTAAACTAAAAGCTGATCGCTGGCTGCACAATCAGGGTCTGGTTGAGAAGTATACCAAGGAGCAGGCGGACTGGCAACGCCGCTGCGAACGTATGGAGGCCAGTGCCAAGAGGAAGGCACGTGAGGCCAAGAATCGTGAGTTCTTCGAGAAGGTCTTCACGGAACTGAGAAAACAACGTGAGGATAAGGAGCGTTTCAATCGTGTCGGATCGCGTATTAAATCCGAAGCGGATCTCGAGGAGATTATGGATGGCCTGCAGGAGCAGGCACTCGAGGATAAGAAGATGCGTTCGTATGCAGTGATACCGCCCCTGATGCACGATGCCCGCCAGATGCGTTGTGCCTATCATAATGAGAACGGACGCATCGAGGATATGGTGGCAGTGCATCAGCAGCGTAAGGCCCTCAATATGTGGACGGCCGGCGAGAAGGAGACCTTTAAGGAGAAGTATTTGCAACATCCGAAGAACTTTGGGGCCATTGCCGCCAGTTTGGATCGTAAATCGCCTCAGGATTGCGTTCGCTACTACTACCTCAGCAAGAAGACCGAAAACTATAAGCAGTTACTCCGCAAATCCCGCCAACGGACGCGCAGTTCACGTAATCCTGCCAAGACACCGGCCGCTCAGCCGCAGTGCATCATCGATTCGATGACCACGGGCGTTATGACTCGCCTGCAACGTGAACAGCAGCAAAAGTCCGGTGGTCGTTCATCGGCCGTTGCCGAGCGTGAGCGTGCGGAACGGGCGGCCGAACGTGAACGTGTGGCAGAGAAAGCGGCAGCGGATGCCGCCAAAGCGGCTGAAAGTGCCGCCGAGAAGGCAAGTGCTGCCACAAAAGCTGTGGAAGCAACGGCGGCCGGTGAAAAGGTTGCCAAAGCGGCTGCAGCAGCAGCAGCGGCAGCAACAACATCATCATCAGCAACGTCAACTCCATCGGCGGCGGCATCAACGGATAAAACGGATGCAAAGGCAAATGCCAGTGAAAAGAATGCAGCAACAGCAGGAGGAGGATCCGCGACAATAACAACAGGAACTCCAGCTGCAGCAGCAGCAGCAGCAACGCCTGCAACAACAGCAACAGCACCACCACCATCATCATCAGAGATCTCAGCGGGCGGCGGCGAGGCCAAGAGCAAAGCTGCCGAAGAGGAGGCAGCAGCAGCAACAGCCGGTGCAGCAACTTTGGCCACAGCCGGTACACCGGCAACGGGAGCCAGTGCGGCCAGTGCTGGTGAGGCAACAACGGCAACGGGTGCAACGGCAACAGCTGCCGCCAAGGGTGCTGGGAAACCAGAAACTGCAACCGAACCAGCGGGAACTGCTGCCAAGGGAGCAGATTCTCGGCTAGATGATCCACTGGCTAAAACTGGTTCAAAAGCTTCCAATGCCGAGGGCTATAATGGTGGGTCCTCCTTCTTCTGCTTCCTTCTCTTGTTTCTATAATCTTACTAAATCGTTTTTTATCTTTTAGCCACCGGTGGCGGAACCACTAGCAATGCTACAACCGCCTCTGCTCCGGCACAGGGCGTAACCTTGAATGGCTTTAAGATGGGCTACCAGGCTGTGGTCATGGCCAATGTAAAGGCTACTGCAGGTGGCGAGGATTCGACGACCGGAGCAGGACCAGGATCTGGATCGGGGGTGACGAGTGGCAGCGGCGATAAGATCGTCAAGACAACGCCATCATCCCGAACGAATCCGAATTCAACGTCATCCTCAACGGCAGTGGGTGAAAGTGGTGGTGCCGGAGTGCCCACTTTTGCTCACACGGCCACCACGGCTGGCAATTATCTTGGCCAGAAACTGAAGGCAGCTCAGGTGGAGGGAATGGGAGCGGGCAATGATCTACACTCGGGTGTTAGGTGAGCTTATTATAAGCCTATGACTATATTATCATACTGTAACTAACTATTGCCATCTCTGTCGGATTTGCAGTGAATCGAAGAGGAAACGCTTTGAACTGAATTCTGGCGAGGCACAAGGCAATGCCACATCGGCTAATACCAATAGCAGCAACATCAACAGCAGTCACAGCCTAAAGGTCAATGCCAATAAGGATGGATTATCGATGTCTAAGACATCGTTGGCATCGTCCACTTCGGTTGTCACATCAACACCATCATCATCAGCATCGTCTTCATCGTCATCATCCATGCTGTTGATTAGTGCCGCATCCATCATGTCCACCGCATCGGGAGGTGCTACATCCTCGAGCACAGCTACTACCACGGCCACGGCTCAGGCAATCTCTATGCCTCTACTGGCGGATGGCAGTGGAAATTCGATGGTGAATGCTTCGGAAATCATAGCTCTTGATGGTAAAGGTAAGTTTTCGAATTGTTATTATGATTATGGGTAGGGATTTGGTTTAAATATTAATCTTTCAACTTTGTAGGACGTTTTGATATAGATACGAGTATATCCCTTATAAACCTGTTCTTTCTATCATTTTTAAGGATATTGATCCTTAATGTCTGATATTTTCATATAAATTTTCAAATTTTGCCAACTTGTTTAGCTTTCAAGCTTCGAAGTCCCTCAGCTACATCAGCTTTTATCCTTTTCATGAACTTTAAACACAGCTTTTCCTTCAAAGTATAGCCCAGCTAGACTTCTAAAGCTTTAGGACTTTAAAAAGTTGTAATTTTTCCTTTACAAAGTTTTCAAAAAGCATGTCCTTGCCAGCCTAAAAGCTCCTCTGTTAACCTGTTGAAGCTTTTGCTATGTTAAATATCCTTTTTTCTTCGTTGCTTTTACCTTTAGCAGAGAGCTTATCAAAAATGCATTTCCCGCCATTGACAACTGCAATGTTTGTGGTGCATTGTGGCAGTCGGTAGGTCCTTTTAATCAAACTATTCCGCCCACCAAAGGACCACCCACCACCCAAAATCCAATCAGAATTGCCGTTTCTCTATCTCCATTTCATGGGCTTCTGTTTGCGCTGTTTCTCCGCCAGCGCTTTCGATTAATATTTTATCAAAAAAAAAAAAGGAAAATACTAAGAAAAAAAAAGCCACCAAGCTATAAATGGCCTTAAGTCAAGCCAAGTCGTCGTCCAGGGCCAAAAAGAGTTGACGGTGGGGTTGGGCGATGGCTTATAAAAGCCCAGAGGAGGTGGCTCAATTGGTGGTTCACTGTTCCACCCTCTCTCTCCAGTGGCTCAGTTCAACGCTTTTTGGCCGCTTGCGGTTTTCTTTTTTACTTCTTCTTCTACTGTTTGTGCACCACCGCCCACCGGCGAATGGCAACCCAACTTGACTGCCACCCACCATCCACCATCCACCACCCACTTTCCAGTTTGCCATCATCATCTTCGCTTCGCTTCGCTCGGCCTTGTTGGCTGTCATCTCCCTGGCGAGTTAATTAAACTCAATTAAATTAAAGTCTTTTTTTGTAAACGTCTTTTTTATTATGCAAGTGATTTAATTTAATTATTAAATTGCGGCAAGGATTCTGTTTACCTTTGTATCCATCCATCCATCCACGCTTTCCCAACGCTTTTCACTCGTATTTCTCGCATTCTCTTTCTTGATTTACAAAAAAAGGAAAGGGTGGAACAAATATAGATCAAGTTGTGGGGGGCGGCAGGCTGGATTCGATAAGAGATCTGTGATATATGGAAATCGGATTAAATTGTTAATATTTATTATGAAAAGTTTAGCGGAATTTCTGGGGCTTAAAATTTGAAATATTTTTAAGATGAAATGTGAAGAAACTTCTTAAATTTTGGTAAATATTTTAAATTGATTTCTCATCTTTGTTTTAATGGCCAAAATTCTTAAATCAAAGTTAAAACTTTATGTAGGCAGTCTAAGACTTCATTTCCTGTGCTTGCTTGCTCGTTTTACTTACCAACTGTTTTTCCATTTGTTGGCTTTTCCTTTTAGACTTTTTAAGCTGAATATATTTTTGATTTCTCCAAAATATTCTTATTAAATTTCACTTTCTTAACTTCAAGTTTTACTTCAACTTTCAAACATCATTCTCTCTCCATCTTTGTGATTTTTAAAATACTTTTTATTTATTTTTAAATTGCATTTCTAGAGCGACAAAAAAAAAACATTTTAGCGTGTGTGTTGGTGTGTGTTTGTTGTGATTTTTAGGTGTATATAAATTCGTAGATTTCGTTGCTTTGATTTTGCCTTTAAAATATCTTAGGATTGCTGTTGCTGCTGTGCCGCCTGCTGATCATCGGCAGTTGCTGCTGCTGCGGCTACTACTGTTGCTGCCTCACGTTTCGTGTTGCTAGTACTGCTGTTGCTGTTGCTGCTAGTGCTGGTATTGCTGCTGCTGTTGTTGTTGCTCGTGGCAGTTGCCTCAATTTCATCCGCATGGCACATTTTCCGATGCTTATGAACGAAATAATAGCTGGGAAACTTGCTGCCACAGGTTTTGCAGGGATAATATTGAACATTCATGTCCAAAGGTCGCACTTCTCGACGCAGCAAGGCTGAGTTTGCTGCATTTGCTGTTGCCCCTGTTGCTCCTGTTGTTGCTCCCCCTCCTCCTCCTCCTCCTCCTGCTGCTGCTGCTATTCCACCAGCTGTTCCATTCTGATGACCACCAATCGATTGGTTATCCGTTTCCAGATTGTTGGCCAACAAAGTTGACGGTTCTGTTAGCAATTTCTTGTCCGCTGTGGTCAAGCTCAATGGATTCAAATGGCGTTTGGCATGCTTTTGATAGCAATACTGGGATTTGAATGTGTGCTTGCAATAGACGCAGACATAGAGTTCTTGATTGGAACCACCGCTAGTTGAAGTTGATGAACCACCTCCGTGAGGTTTCCTGTTGCTGCTATTACCTGCTGTTACCGATGATGATGATGATGATGCTGCTGCAGTTGCTCCTCCTGTTGATTGTTGTTTACCGATTGGTGTTGCTGCTGCTGCAGCGGCTGCCGTGGCATCGCCACTATTCTCACTCTCCTCCTGTTGCTGATGGCTTAACTGTCGCTGCTGGCTGCTAATGGCCCTGGCCATCTGTTGGTGAAAAGAATAACTAACACTCTGTTGACTGCGATGTTGTTCCACGGCCATAGCTGATGAAGATCCTCCAACCGATGATCCTCCAGTTGAGTTACCAATTAATGATCCCGATTCTAGAGACTCCGGCTTATGGCCATAGGCTGTATTGAGAATCCTACGAAATCTCACTGGACCATCACAGCTGGCTACGTCAATGATAAATTTCGAGGGTGTTATGGGCGTGGCAGTCATTTCCAATTGAGCAGCCGGCACTGGAGCTTTGGCCACCTGCAAGCCAGTGGATTTCCTTGATCGGGCGGTAGAGGATTTACCTCGACTATTACCCTTCGGCAATGATTCTCTTTTGGAGTTTTGACTTTTTGATTGTGATTTTGGAGTCGCATTGATGATGGTGGCCACCACAGTTGGTATTGGAGTTGGTGGCTTCACATCCAAACGTTCGATATTCAGACTGCCGGCACTGCTTCCGGCCAGAGAACTCACCACCGAAACATTGCAATCCATGTCCACATCCGGTTCGGGATCAGCTTCGTTATCCGTCACTGTATTGCTATCGATAAAGACTTCGACATCTTCATCCTCTTCGTTATCCTGAATGACGGACTGTTCGTTGTCCATGCTCAGAGAGTTGGCCCCAAAGGAACTCAGTGAAGCTGGAGCGGCAGGTGCATGTGGATGTGGTGGTGGTTGTTGTTGTGGTTGTGGTGGAGCAGCACTTGGTGGTGCTTGTGGAATGGGTAGAAAACCAAAATTCGGCATAGTTGCCTTGCTGGGTATTGGGCGGATGACTTTGGCTGGGATGCTGGGAACTGGACAAAGCTGAGCGGGATTGCCATTTAAATAACCCTCCGTTTGAGCTCGGGCCAAAAAGGAACTAGAAATTAGATATGAAAATCTATCAAATGGAAAATCTATAAAATTTGGAAAAATTTTTAATATTTCTAAAGGAGTTCTATATGATTTCGAAAACTATCCATCAGATTGCTAGGAAATTCAAGGAAATATCCTTCGGGAAATATTTTCTTTAAGATAGTTAAAGATTTCCCGCCGAACCAAAAAACCCACCGGCAGATTTCCAGAGCCCTTGGCATATGCAATACGTGGGTGGCCAGCAAAACGGCAAAGATATTGTCGACGGTCAGGTCCAGATAACCCGTGTACATATAGGTTAGCAGCGGTGCAAACTGATCGGCTGTGACATTGCTAAGATATAGTAATAGTTCGCCCGTTGCCGTTGTTGCCGATGATGATGAATTGGAATTTGAAGTTGCAACTGCTGCCGCTGCTGCTGATGATGCCTCATCCAAACGTATGGCGGAGCGGAGATAACCACTGTGCATGCCCAGCACCAAAGAGTGAGCCACAAAGCGTACACTACTTGGTGCTGGACCCACTTCTAAGATCACATCCGGTGGCGAACTCATTACCAAAGCGGAGGCACTAACTCCACTTGGTCCTCCACTTCCGGAGCCGCCAATTCCGGATGTCGAACGCGTTGCCGGCGTTCCGCCGCCACTGCTGCTGCTGGTGCTGCTGCCTGTCAGCCAATTTGTGAACATTGTTGCACGTGCACAAGAAAAAAAAAAAACAAACAACAATATAAACAAAAAAAAAAAATGATTGTTTGCGTTGCGAGATTTTTGAGGCAAGGACGAAGGACGAACGAAAGGAGCGCACCACAGCGCGTTGTGTCGCGTGTCCAAAGGGAAATCGGCTGGAGAACTGATGGCCGACAGCCGTGCGTCTCCGGTATTTATACTCCCCGGCAGTCAAACATGCAACATGCGGCATCGTTCGTCGTTGTCCTTCGGCTGAGGAATCGTGTTTCCACTCGTTAAATGTTCCACAAACAGGCTGACTGTTTTTCAGGATCTGAACTCGTATTTAGAATATTTTTTTTTTTAGATATTTTTGGATTGTCATAACTATTAGCTTTTAGTTAAGTTTTGAGTTATTTTTGAAGAAAGAAGTTAAGTTCGCTAGTTTTTTGGGTTCTTAAAAAAGAAATCTAGTTATTATAGTAAAAACTGCTTTAGATTTTTCGAAATGAACAAAATATTCAAGAGAAGAATTTTGCTAATTTCCACCAAAAGTATTGCCTACTTTTCCGGGCTCAGTTTCTGTGATTTCTTTTTTTTTCCGCTAGCCTTTGCCCTTTTTACATTTTGACCCGAATGCAGTGGCAGAACTCAACTTCGCGGTTCTTTTGAGTACATTTCCCCTCTTTTGCATGTGTCATTCGAGCGCTTAACAACTCTTTACCGTTTTCTTCTCTGCCAGTGCCTGTGTGTGTGTGTGTTTCCACCCGAAAATGTTGGCCCAATCGACTTAATTGATTTGTGGGCATAACCAACACATATTTACACACAGTTTGTATCTCTGTGTGCGTTTTCATGTTGATTTACTGCTTACATATGCGAGTGTGTGTGCTTTTGCCTTATCTGCCTTTAACTATAAATATCTGTGTGTGTGTGTGTGTGTGTGTCTTGTGGTCTTGCAGTTCGAATTCTCAATCAGCTATTAGCGTTTAACCTGGAAATACCCTGGAATTTATGGTTAATAAAGAAAATTAACTAAGATTTTAGGGGATTTTTAAGATTGTTTTTTAATGAAAATCTTTTCTTAGTAAGAATCTTTTGTTTTATGTTTTGATTTTTTATCATTAATTTGTATTATTTTTCCACCAAATTAGTAGCCTACTTATTAAAGGGTATCTCTCACTTCGACTTCATCTTCGTAACTTTGAATTCTCTGCGTTATTTTTCTTAGATTTCCATCAGCAAGCAGCCCATTTTTTTGGTGTGGCTTATTTGGTCATTTGGTTGGCTTTTAATTACCGTTACTGCTGATCGGTTTATTTGAGCAACCGCAGGCCTTCCCTTCCTCTCCCACAACTTATCCACCTGGCTATATGAATGTCCTTTACTTTGGCTTAGTGTTCTTGTACTTTCCCTTACCGGAAATGCCCCCTAAAAATATGTGAACCTCTGCGGCGGGCTGGCTGGACTAGCTAGTAGTTGGCAGACTGATTTCGTTTGGCTGATATGGCAATTGGTCAGTTTGTTGGCATTTTATTATATTATGTGTCCTGTCCTGATGATGATGATGTGGTTGTTGTTGTTGTTGTTGTTGTTGGTCCCCTTATTGATGGGCTAATTTAATTAAGTCGCTTTTTGTAAGGTCCTCTCATGCTCACTCTCAGCCACTGACACACTCACACTCACACTCACATCCTGTCTTGTTCGATTCGATTTAACTTCAATCAAGCGTTAACAATTTTAATTAAATTATTTCCAAATGTAATTATAAATGTGCGTCATGCATAAATTGTGTTATTAATTTATTTACCCACCCACACTGACAACAATTGCAATTACAACAATTGAGCGAGGTCGTCCTGGCTGCAGAGCTGCTGGATATCTGCAAGAGTAAAAATGGTGATGGGTGGAGGGGGGCGGGGCTGTAGACCGACCACCAGACGCTGGCCGAGGCCAACTTTTTGAATAAATAATCACAACGTAGGCAAAAAATAAATTTCATAAATTGGCATCAGCGCAACATTGGCGGCAATAAATGAACGACATAAAAAAAAAAAACAACAACAAAATATTACATATTTAAAAAAGTGGAAAATTGGAAATTCAGTAGCTCGTTTCTGACGTCGTCAATCTGTCAGGTTTTTAATCTCATGTCCAGCATTTGCATCTTTATGTTTTTTCTAGGGTTACGTTCTTAAATTTTGTTTAATTTTCTAGTCAAATCGGCTTAGTTTCTTAAACTATGGTTACTTGGTCTGTTTTTCGACCGCACAGTGGAATGCAGTGTCACATGCAGTTGCCATGATGCAATTCAATTCAATTAATGAAACGTTGTAAAAGAAGCGTTGCAAAGATGCCCGGAAAACCCCGTGCACCTCACTCACCCACCCCCTTTGCCCCCACCAATGGTTTTCCCTTCATTGCGTGTGTCACTTTTGCCCTCTCTTTTGTGTGGGTTACACTTTGTGCTGATCTTTGCAGTAAGTTGGCAAATTGCCTGACAACCGGAAAACCAAATCGAAGCAGCAACATCTCGCACTCACACACACGCACATTCACCTGTCAACTGGCTTACACACACACACACACACACACACACGTAGGCAGCTTTGTCCATGTTGACAAGCAACTTCTGTTCCGCTCGCCACATCTTCCCTCTTGCTCTCTGCTGCAGCTTATCCCAGTTGGATTTTATTGTTTGCATACACTCTACTCACTCACACACACACACACACACACACACACACACATATATACAGACTCGTATACATATGCAATGGGGATATCCTACTTCCTTTTTTATCCCCTGCTTTTTGGCAGGGGGGAGGGGTGAAGGGAAGGCGAGTCAAAAGGGACAAACCTTTTATGACAATTAAAACATAATTGACGGTCAACATTAATAAACCAAACGCACACCGAAAAACAACAGCATGAAAAAAGAGCTACAACCAGAGGAGGCGAAGCAAAGAGCACAAGGCAGGACAACAGGCAGGATATGCAGGATGTGCACGGGAAGAAAAAGTGTTGTATATGTATAGAACAACTTTAGTATAATAGATCTTAGTGGGGTTTGAATTTTATCTTCGAAATTATTCTTTCTTTTTTCATAGAACTATAAATATTTTTGATCTATTATCCAAGCTTCTTAAGAGACCCATATCTCAAGTCTTAGACTCTACAAAAATCACCCTAAAACCTAGAAAACTTTGCCTTCTACCACACTTTCTCACAGTGCAGGCTTGAAGGGGCAAACGAGAGTGCGGCGTCGGCGGTGAGTGAGAACAATCTGCGTTTTTCTGTTCCTGTGTGGTCCTGTACGTACCGACCAGTATATTTTTGGGCCAAAACAACAACAACAACAGCAGCAACAACACATTGGCAACAAGATTGCAATTGAACTTTCGGCAAAAGGGTGCGATGAAACCGAATAACGCACTAATCCCTAGCCAGGACCCCAGAGAGAGAGATAGTCCATGTTGCCCTGCCCATATCGCCATCCAGCCATCCCTCCTCTATTCTCATACAAATCAACACACAGCCATTTTGTGTTAGTTAAAAATTCTTTTTGTGTGTTAAACAACAAGCCAAAAACACAACAAAAACAATAGCAAAAAACAAAAAAAAAAAGAAGGAAGGCGAACCGAAAGAAGCCAAAGCATCCAAAAACATAGAAAAAAGCGCGCCAAAAACTAAATTTGAAAGCATTGCTAAGGGGGGAAGGGAGATAGAGTTGGAGTAGATATACAGTAGACAACAAAATAATAGTTTTATGACTTTGTTAGAGTAAGTTAAGGACTCTGAATACCAGAAAGAGAAAGTCTTAAAAGAAGATTTTGAAGATATCTTAAGTGAAATGGCAGCTTTACTTATAGTTCAATTTATAGAAAAGTTTTCTTTAGTTTTTTACCACCACCACTATTATTTTGCCCTTAGGTGTACGAAATATGTGTGTGTGTCGTGTGGGTGTGTGTGTGTGTGCTATCCTCTTTGGGCAATTAAACTGGTGACACGCTGTTATTTTTGTTGTTTATTAATTTGTTCATTGCATTTTAAGTGATCGCTTCGCCCACTCCCCCTTCCTGTTGCTCTTTTGTGCATTATGCTGATGGAAAGTAAACGCGGTAGTAAGAAGTGGTTGGGTTGATTTTTCGGCTTTTCTGGCCCCTTTGGCCGCGAATGCAATTTGATGTTTTGTGCGGGGCCCACTTTGTCCCCTTTTGCCCGTTGTTGGGCTGTCAAAAAGCGGCCAAAAGTATGCAACACGCTGCATCGCGGCTTAAATGCCCAAATGTCCCCGGGGGCCTGGGATGTGATGGGGTGGGGTGGGGAAGGGTGATAGGGGGAGGCATTGGCTGCAGCAAAAGTCACTTGGCAAAAGACTGGCCCGCCGTTTATGAAATTTTGAACAAAATTGAAATTACGCTAATTGTTTGGACTCTCGCGTACACTCGCTGCTATAGCCCTGCCCCTGCTTTATTTTCCAAAATGATGGTGCAGGGGGGAGTGTGTGCCTGGCCAAAGCAAAAACAATTAGCGAATTTGATGAGCAAATCCTCGTTACACGCGACTGTGGAAAATGGAGCAGGGGTGGTGTGGTGGTTCCCAAAAAAAGGGGGTTAGAACAGCCCCCAACTCCCTGGCGCAACCCCCTACGTTGGTGCAGCTAATTAATAGACTTTTGTGTATGGGTGTGTGTCTCAGGCTTGTGGCTCCTCTTCTCTGTGTGTTTCATTTTTGTTTGTCCAGCGCATTAGCCGCCAATTCGCTTTCCGTATCCACATCCGCATCCGCATCCGCATATTCCCCTACTGTACCCTAACCTTCCGCCATCCGCCTTCCGCCTTCACATCCGCAACCAATTTGTTTGCCTGGCAGTTTGTCAGTTTTGCGGCTCTCGCTGTGCGAGTGTGTTTGCTAATTAGTAAATCATAATTACTCACTCGCATTTCACAATTCGTAAGCTCTCTCCGCCAGCGATTCCTCCTGCGCCTCGCCCCACATCTATCCACCCACTTTTATAGGCACACCCCCACATTTTCGAATCCAATCCATCTGTCCAATATGGAGGCGCGTATACGCCCCCTTACCCGAAATGTGAAATCCATCCATCCAGCCGCCATTATTCGCCATTCGTTGGCCAGGTCGAGAGTTTTTCGGCCGGGCAGCTCACAAAATGTGTCAACCTGGGTGAAGGGCACAGGGAAAGAAAAACTTTTAGTAGTTTTTGGTTACAAATTAAGGAATTTCAATAAGTATAGGAGAAGTTTTGATCTTAATAATGACTAATTTAATAAGTTTTGTTGAGAACTTTTATGAGGAAACATATTCTTATACGAATTTGAAGCAATTCTTATCAAATTTTCTAACAGTGCAGCGGTAAACGCGTCTTTCTAATTGCCCCTTATGCAATGCATAAAGGTAATACAGTTGCAATAGGGAAATGGATGGGGTAATAGAGGTATCCAACTGCTATGCTTTGATTGTTGATATCCCCAAAAGAGATTAAAAGAGCAGGGGGGCGAGGGCGTCTGCAAAATATTAACGAGCCAATTCACAGCGTGAGTTGGGATGACCATTGTCATGAACTCGATATTGGGATTTATTGATATTCCCCATTGAACTTATCAACTTAGAGATAAGAATTGTTACATTTGTAAACCCTGACAACCTCTTAACTTAATTTCAACTAGCAGATAGCCCCAAAGAGCAAGCAAAAAGGGTATATTATAAAAACTATTGCTTGCTTTTAGGCGCTGACAAACTAATTACCAACTTAAACTTAAACTTAAACTTAAACTAACAAAAAAAAAAGCAGGAAAAGCCCCCAAAAATAATCCAACAAAAAGCCAAAGAACACAGCCACACACTAAATGGTCGTGGTGGTAGGAAGGGAAAGGAGAAACTAAAGAGGCGAAACAGCATCTGCTAATTATGTAAATGTATGTGTGTGTGTGTGTGTGTGGCTGGCTTCTTCTTACCCTCTATATCTCTTTCACTTGCCGTAGCTTGTTCTCTTTCTGGCTGAGACTTTTGCTTACATATGTAATTAAATTGCTCAATTAAAATTGCACACCCCTTTGATTATCGCTGGCGCACTCTCTATCGCTCACTCTCTCTCGCTCTTGCTAGCTAGCTTTATCCTTCTCTGTCTGTTATTAATCAGAGAAAACCGTTGTCCAAAAAGCAAGGATTCATATACAGAGAAAATTATGGGGTTTATAGGTTGTAGGTTATATATTTTTATGTTACAGTTAAAGTTTGGAGAGTTCTATCATTTTATAGGAAAATACCATAAAATTGGGTTTTGGTTTTATAGTAAAAGTATTTCCCTTCATTCTAGTTTCAAAAACTCTTGTTTTGCAATCCCTCGTTAAGCTGTCTGTAAATCAACTTATTTTATAGTTATTTTTAACAAACTTTTAAGTTTTATTCCCAGTGTACTCACACTCACACACACACACACATGCTCACTTTTCGGGCTTCAGTGAAATGACGGCCACAATTGCCCGGAATAAAATATGCTTTTCTTTTCTCCTTTTTTTTTTTTTGTTTTTTTGTTGTTATTTCAATTTTCTTTTGTGTTGCGCTGATGCTGCTGCTTTTCCCACACCGCTTTTCGCCCACTTTCCCCGCCTTTTTTCGCCCCCCCTCTGGTCCGTTTCTCTTGAGCCAGTGCCGCCTTTGCCGTTAAATCAACACCATTTCGTAAATTAAAAGTGCCAAGCAAAGCGCTTGCTGCCTCTGCCGCCGAGCAACGTTCATATTAACTGTATTTACAATTATACGGTGCTCACTATCTGCTCGCCCTGCTGCACTGAGAGAAAACGAATACTAGAAGATATCTGATTATGTTATTCTGAGACATCTTTAGGTTCTTAAAGATTTGATGAGAGGTAATATTTGCTAGATCTATTGGTTATTTTTTTTTTGTTCTTAGTACCACAGCTAGTAAATATATCATAAAAAAGTATCAAATATACCAACAAGCCCAAAAGTATGCCCAAAAAGACTAAATATCAAATTGCTGATAAGGTTAGAAGATTTTTCTTACACTGCACGCCCTTGCTGCTCTGTTACACTCCCCACGCCCACACTCCCTTTGCATATGTGCATGCTATAATTCCTTGTACTCCGCCTACCCCACGCCCCCTTTTTTCCGCCCGCTTTCACCCACTGAATTCGCTGCTCTTTGATGTTTGCACAAGTTGGCAACTCGACTTCTTCTGCTTACGCAAGTTGTGCTGCTGCCGCTGTCGGTGCTGCCGCTGCTGTTGCTGCTTCTACTTCTTCTTCTTGCGCTCTGCCAACAACAAATTCCCCATGGTGCTAATTAGCGGTGGTGTCCTGCGTCCTTCTTCGCCCTTCCTTTTAGTCGTCCCCACCTCCTGCATCCTGCCAGAGCCAACGTTTTGCTTGCTCTTGTGTTCCCGATTCGCGTATATTTTTTAATTGGCCGCTTTCGGCATTTCCATTGTTGTTGGTTGGCTTTTGGTTTGTTGTTGTTGCAGCACTTGTTAGCCACAAATTGATTTGATAGTTGTTGTTGTTGGTTATTGCTAGTTGACAGATTTGATTGGATTTGCGTTTTTGATTTTTATTAAAAATTTATGTGGGTTTTGAACATAATAAGTTGTAGGTTTGGGTTATAAAATGTTTATATTTCTGTTTTTTATGTTTAATATTTATAATTTAACAATGAAATTTTGCTAATGTTTCGCTTGAAAATATTCCAAAACTTTTTCTGACTGAAAGTTCCTACAAATAAATACCAAATCTTTTTGGTATTAAGTTAGTAAATCATTTTTTTAACACATAGTGTTAATTAGTTTCATTTTAATTATTAGAAAAGGAGTTATATTCATGCCAAATAATAACTTAAATCAAAAATATAAAATAACTAATTAATTTACTTGAAAAATTGAACACACTTTGAACTGTTCTGTCCCTGTATTATCCTTTTTAAACTTCCCCTCCCTCCCTTCTTCAACTTCTGCTCCTTCGTTCTCATCAATTGTTGTTTTCAATTGTCTAATTGAAAGTTAAATAAATTTTTGGTAACTTGTGCAGAAATTTTGTGCTGCTACAGCAGAGTCCACAAGCCAGTGGGAATTACAACGAGTGTAAAGGGGACAGGAAGAGATGGGTGGAATTTATGGGTGGTAAAGAGAGGAGGGTTATAGAGAAGGTTCGGGTTAATTTCTGTTTGCTTATATTTGTTGGCTTGCCAAAACTATTTGCCAAAATGCTCGAAATTTAATTGCACAATTAATACAGTGGCTAAATGCAAATTAGGTTGTGAGAATGAAAGGAAAAACTGAGGTGGTAATGGGTGAGATAATGGGTTAGGTAATGGGTCAATTGGTTTCTGTAATGAGTAAGAAAGAAATATTTTCAAAAATAAGTGAAAATAAGAAGATAATAAAAGCTGCCTTTCAAATAAAGTCAATAAGAACGTGGGTAGTGCAGGAAAGCGGGTCTTAAACGAGAAACAAATGTGTCGTAGAGGGTGGGTTACGTAATCTGTGTGTAATGGAGAAAGGGGACATGGACATAGAATGCTAATTGGGAAATTACTTACTAGGTCAGCATCACTCACTGGCATACTCATACAATCCTAACCGCAAATAGAGACATTAGGCCTACACACTCACACATACACGCATAGAACCACCCATTTCCAAACCACCCATTGCATACACCTCCTGTTCCCACCCCTTATTCATAGACCTTCTCAATATTTACTCTTTGTACTTGCAAAAGAAATTGTACTAATGGAATTATTTCATTTTCGAGAGCAGTGCGAAAGAGATAGAGTAAAGAAAGTAAATTGAGAGAGTGAGAAAGAGATAGCAGTTGGGGGGATGCGTTGCGTCTCGTTTTGTTTTGTTTGTCGTTTTGATTTACTTTTGGTTTTCGCTTTTTTTTCCCTTGGTTCTCTGATATTTTTTATATTTCTTTACTGTGCAAATAACTCCCAATGTTCCACGTTTCATCTGCTCCTCTATCTATATCTATCTATCTCTCTTTCGCTTTCTTTCTTCCTTCTCTGTCTCCAAAGTCGCGATTGCGATTGCACAAATCAAAGTAGAAAAGTCACTGGGAAATGAGAAAGAAAATGGTTACACAGAGAGAAATGTGTTTTTCCTAATCCGAATTAGGGTCTTTGATCAATAACCAAGCCAAAAAATGGTCGTAGTACGTGTTGGTATACCTCTCTAAGCTCCATTTGATTGGCAATTTAATTTAGACAAGTCTTTTGT